CAAAAGATAGTGGCTAAAGTACACCAAGCATACCCAAGGCAAAAGGAAGGATTCCTTCTAATGAGAAATGCAAATAATAAAACCTAAGCAAATGTGTCTAATCTTAAGATCAAGTATAGCATAATTCCTCCACACCTGTAAATTATCAAGGTGCTTTTCCAAATCTTTTCCAGAAAATTCCTGTCTTCCTTCCCTCCACCCCTCACTCCCAGCAGATTTCTTCTTTTTCTTCATTGATTACTAGGATACAGGCCACTCTTACCTCAAAGGAAGGCTGGGAAAATAAACATCTGGTAAAAGACAAGAAAGTTACTACTCTACTGTCATCCTTGAACAAAACCATGATATGTCAGCCAGGGACACAGACAGTCAGCTGGTGGGTGGGGGTGTAGGGGGTTGTAGAGAATTAAAAACATTTCCCACAGGACATTCAGCCTTAGATCTGCCCCTTAATCCAGCCACATAAAAAAATCTCTTTGACACAGATACAAATGTGAATTTTTAAGATTGAATGGTAGCCCTCATGACGTCTTCCTCAAAAGTTTCACACATCATATATTGAGAATGGAGACATGAAAATAGACCAAAAATCCAAATGAGTTCCATAGAAGACTAGTCTTCCATGTACGGGATTGGGGGGGGGATGAGTGGAGGGGTTTATGTTTTTATACAGAATTGGGAACTCTTATAGACCATTAGAGTACCTAAGGCTATGATAGTTCATAAACTAGATAAGCACTGTTTAACATAATACTGTCCACCACAACAATAAAATTACATTATTTTACATCATGCCTACTAATATTACCTAAGAATCATGTTGGAAGGGTTGAGAAGCCACTTTTCTATTCTTCATTACCATGGGAAATGGATAAGATTCTGGGTTTTTATTTATCCCTTATTCTCTAAGAAAACACCTTCTATTATACCACTAATATCTCACTAGTAACAGCTATTCATTAAATTACCATTTTTTCTTTCTTTTATCTTTTTTTGACACAATCCAAGGTTTGAATCAGGCTGGAGTCAGCAAGAAATTTTCAGCCTATCCAATTGTCAAGAATAAAGGATTTAACCCTACAGAGTCCAGATGGAAAATAAAACCACAGGCACTCTGAGTTATAATGAAGCAAAAATATAATTACCTGGTAAGATTTAGAGAGACTATGAAAAGCAATGAAAGTCAGTATGATTATTTGAATGACAGCTTTCATTTAAGTGATGTTAAACAGGACTCGTCCAAATTCTGGTGGTTTTCAAGGACAGAGATCATGAAGTCAGAGAACATAGAGAGCTATATCTTTTCCAGGTTTCCTATAACTGCTTTCTCTGTGTTTGATCTCACCGGCCAGTGTCACCAGCCAGTGAACCTGGCATATGAAACAAGGGCTGGACAGACACACTGGCAGACAGGTCAGTAATACTAATCCCAACCTACGTGGCATGCTAATGGACAAAAACTATATTCTATTGTAAACATTCTCACACTGCTCTCACTTGCTGACATGGGGAGAGAGATCAAAATCATGACAGATCCATGGGCATATAATGGCCTCTGAAGTCATCCTTATAGAACTTCCAGGTGTCTGAGGGTTTTCTCAACACATACCCCTCAGAAATTCCCTCAGTTCTGTAGGAGGCACACTTAAATCTTCATCAGAAATAACTCCGTGCCCACTGAGGTGCCAGGACACTGCACCAAAGCTGATGATAACTTTTTTCAACAAATAAGAAATCCTACCCAATGTCAATACATCACTGGATCCAGAAAACCTGTGTCTGGAGATCTGAACAGCAAGGTTCACTAGTGAGTCTCAATTTCATTGCTCAGGTTCCCCCCATGAGCTGTTACACATCTCTTTCCTCCAGAGACTTCTCATTCCAAGGGATCACTCCAAAACACTTTCCTTCTTTTCCTTCCTTGGTCACCTCACTCAGCCTGAGGAGAGCTCTGTGGGTGACCTGGACAACTTTACACAGCTGAAACCCACAGAACCTGGGCAATGTCCAATAAAAACATGTCAGGAAAGCAAATATTTTTAAAAAACATAATTCAGTTCTTATCACAAAGCAATCAAACTTCTTCCCCTTATTCATTTGAGAGAATCCAGACCAACCATACCCATCCCGTCACATTTGAAAATTCTCTCTTCACCTGAAAATTCCTCTTCTCATTCTGTGCATTCACACGCATCTTGAACAACACCCAGCTCTTACACAATACTCCTGTTGACACTTCCATCTCTTTTCACTGGGGTGAAACAGCTTGTCCAAGAAGCCCCAGTTTGCAGGAGGCAGAGATAGATGTGAGCACAGATCTTTTCCTCTAACTACAAATTCCACCCATGCTCCTCATTGGCTCACCTGGGACTTCCCCAGCAGAAGTGAGCTGTGATACTAATTCAGATGGTTGTAGCTCAAAGCTCACATCTTTAAATCTCCTCCCCAAGGGGACTCCAAAAAACACAGGGCACCAATCGAAGCCTTCTTTGTGAAGCCCTGCATGCTCACAGTCTCCCCATTTCAAATACAAATCACCAAAATGTTAGTGAAAGAAGAGACAGTCACTGAGCAAGACAGAGGATGACCTTGAAAGATCACCTCACTGTCTAGAGCAAGACAACTAGGGGCTCCGCTGGCAATTTCAAACTCCGATTTCTGTTAAGCTTCAAGCACAGGATCAATATAAAATCTGACTAAAAGCCAATTAAATTTATGAGCTGCTATCTCACCCTCACTGAAAACTGCTACTTTTCCATCTCTGCGATATCTTTGCTAGACAAATTCAACAAAGAGATAACTCTTCTTGTATTTGCCCTGACACAGTTAAATTCTTAACTAAGTCACTTTTGCAAAGTGTCAAGATAGGAAATGTCATCTCCAGAGAAAGTGCAATCCCTTTGCTGATGGGCAATGCTCTGGGGGTGCCAGAGTAAGACCTCATTTTCTTTTCTTTTTTTTTTTTCAGCTTTAATTGAGTTTATTGGTACATTTTAGGGATACAGTACAGTTACATTCATTGTTGGGATCTTGTACCTCTACATGACAAGTCTTGATTCTCATTTTTTCCCCTTACCTCTGCCCTCCCTTCACCCCCTCCTCCCCTCCCCATCTACAAACACTTTATTTTCATCTTTTCATTCTCTCACATAAGACCTCATTTTCAATCACAAACTAGGAAGACCCTCAGACCCTCAGTGTGTGCTTTTCTAGTCTGCATCCATGCATTAAAACAGCTAAAGTGAGAATGTAAACCATCTTCAGAACAGTCACCAGGGATCTTAGCACATATTTACCTCCTCAGTGACAATGCCTTGGAGAATTCAAGCCCCAACCTTCTCTGTTCTTGTCATTCAAACACATTCTGTAGGATTTATCACATTGTAATGGTTTACAGTTAATAAACATTCATTTTAGGCTAGGAACCCTGGGGGAACAGCCTTCCCCACTTTTCCACCTGTTTCTTGAATACTCAGCACAGAGCTTGGGTACACAATAGGAGTCTGACAAGATATCATTGACATTTTATTTCTACTACACTTCACCAGTTACTTTAAACCAAACTAAGATATTCATAGGATGGTGTAACTTTTTTCCACATGTATGTGTATTCATTTATTAAAAGGACGGTTACGGACAAATCTCACAATATAATTTTAAGATTCAAACGAGTACATATCTACTTGAAGTTCAAAACCTGGCAAAGTTAACTGATGGTGTTAGAACTACTATTGCCATGATTTGTATCAATGCGTCTCTACATGGGCGTCGAGGTGATCATGGAAAACAAAGCATTAGTTTTTAAATGTTCTCAATTTTTTTTATAAACTGACAATAAACACAACTAAAAATGATATCTCTCTGAAAATAGTCTGGCAATTATTTGACAATGGAAACACTACGAAGGGCATCCTTTTTAGATGCCAATGTTCTCAATTACGTGCTGAGCACTGTCTAAATGGTCCTCAGCTATACGGTATCCAAGATGATTTTCTCTGAGAAATTAACATATTCTGGATTAGCTTACATGAATAAGTCTCTCGGATTTAAAAGATGCAGGATTTTCTCAAAAAATCTAAAGCCTCTCCTTGAAAAACCCAATCTTCCTTCCTACTCTTGGAGCCCACTATCACCTGCTCTCCCCAGTTTCATGCTCTATAATCCAGCGACCCTGACCTCCCTCTAGAAAGGGCGAGGAGCTGATTCTTCCTCTTATCCTAGCGGAGGTCAGGCCATGGGAAGAAGTGAGGCAGGTTGCCTCACTGGGGCATCTGACCTTCTGGAAGTAATCATAACCAAGAACAGTGCCACCAGCTGGGGAGCCCAGTTCTGACCCCAGGCCCCGCTACCCTGAGAGAATGACACGGAGTTCTCTCTCCATAACTTGCATCCGGAGACAGAGGATACTCCTGTAGCGGCACTGACCGCCCACTGAGGGTCTCCTCCCTTCTCAGGGAAGAAGGGACAAGGGATGGAGCCTGCCATCCTAATGACCCTACAAAGAGCAGCTTCTGGGTCTAACCTGAGCCAGCTGGAGAGTTTAGCACGGAAGGTGAAAGTTCCAAGAGGAAATATCAGCTCTTAGGATTTAATTCTTTCATCTCTTCGACCCTGACACCGGTCTTCAGCGACACACATTTTGTTCCAAGCTTGGGATTTGGAAAAGAACCTGGCGACCAGAGTCATCTCACCTCTACTCTTGCTGCTGTAGGCAGAACGGTGGTTTGAACTCAGGTGACGGGCTGGGCTCCTGCAGTTCCAGGCTGCGGCTCAGGCCGGCTCCGAGGCCTCTCGCGCTGTGCACCGGAAGCAGTCGGCGCCCCTTGGCGGCCCCTAAAATCATTTTTAACAGAAGAAATTTTTAAAAATTCTGGTTCTAAAGACTGTTCCTACTGAGCAAGAGGGGAAATAATCTATCATCTAAACCAGAACATGTTTGACAATTAGCGGGTGCATTATTATTAATTTAACTGGACAGCAAGTATAAACCTCATCGGCTCCTCTGACCGCCGACTGTGGGATCCGGAGCCCCCACGCGCCCTAGAACCCGGGCTCCCTGCGCTCTCCGGCCCTGGGACCTTGACCAGACCCGGGGCGCTGCTTTGTCTCGGCTTGGACGGAAAATGACCATGTGTGAGCTCTTTCTTGACTATCTAAAATACTCTACTCACCCTGTGCATTATCCCATTTAAAAGCACTTTCCTTCACTTGTGAAAAGCCACCCTCAAGTTTCTTGAGGGACCGTATTAGAGCTTCTTCAGAGTACTGCAGACCTCTTGAAGACAGGCACACCTGGACTCAGACCACCGTGTTGGGTTTATCATTGCAGCCCTGGTACCTAGAGGGGAGCCCCTGCCACCCTGGAGAGCTGCACCCCAGGACTGATCTTGCCAGGCCTTGGTGCCTCGGAATGGCCTGGAGTCAGTCTTGCACACTGACATTACTCTATAGAGGACCCTTGCCCAAGGCACCTCTTTGCTATTTGAATTTAAAAAGAAAGGGGTTGATGAAATGACAAAGTCTGTCCTTTCGCTTTATTCCTCCTCCCCCCCCCCTTCTCTTGTTTTTGTGTTAGAGCCTGGCGAAATTGCTAATTCCCCAAACAGGACTCAAGTGCTACCCTGCTTAACCTCCCAGGTGTTGGGATTACGGGCACCAACCCCACCCACCCCCCATTTAGTACCCAAAATGCTGATACTTAGAAAGTTTAGACAAAGATCTGTGGTGGGTGAAATTTAAAATGTTTTCAGTTCCTAAATTTTTCTTAAAACACGCCCCCCCCCGGCTTTAAAGTAAAATTGTCAAAAATTGTATATAATTGTGGAGTACAATGTGATATTTGGACATGCTGTGAAATGATCAAATCAAACTCCTGTGTGCATTATTCCACTTACTTAACGTTTTTGTGGTGAAAACATTTAATGTCTACTCACATAGCAATTTGCAAGTATATAATCATTATTATTTCCTATGGTCATCTGCTGTGCAGTAGATCTCCAGCACTCACTCATCCCAACTGAAACTGTATCTTTTGACTGGGCCATTCTACCCGGAGTGTGATTTTTAGATTTCACTATGTCTATGTGAGATCATACAGCCTTTGTCTTTCTCTGTCTGGCTTATTTCACATAGCACAATGTCCACCAAGTTTATCCATGTTGTCACACTAGCAGAATTTCCTTCTTTTTAAAGGCTTAATAGCATTCCATTGTATATATTTCATTATATACAGATATCATAATATATCCATTTACATATATATATATATATATATATATACACCTGCCATATTATCTTCACGTTTTAGCAGACACATAGGTTGTAATATCTATTCTTCCATAATTGTAAGATCATCCTATAAGCTGTGCCCTCTGGGTAAGGGAAAAGAGGGGAGATTCTCCGTCCCAGCCCAAGAATGATACTGTGAACTCCAGGCAACCCACTTTCCTCCCTTCAGTCTTTCTTCAGAGCTTTATAGGGTTGCCCACCCTCCATGTCCTACTAATGTCTGTCCTTCCCTTCCTGGACAACTAGAAAACCAAGTGGAAAACCAGAGCAAAAACTCAGCAGCACAAATATTCACACAAAGCCCTTTCCATCTGTGGTAAGGGAGCCTCTCCTGTCTCCTACCTAAAAACCACACCCAGTCAGGTATCACTTTTTGTAAAAAACCATAAACCAGATTTCCTGAGAAAAGTCACTAGTCAGCAGCCAGAAGAGGGTGTTTCTAGAAGGATGCTTCAGATGCCTTTAATGTTTCTGCAGGACTTCCCCTTTGGATAGAAACATCTCTGAGAGGGATTCACAGAGGCATGATCCTCTTTGTTAATCTCTAATCTTTATTTTCATTTGAGGAAGGGTCTAATTATAGCCACAAGGTGAGTTGGTTAATGGTTGTTTTTATTATTACCTTTTAATTCACAGAACTCCATTCCCTACTATCCTCTAAGAACAGGAAGAAGTTTTATAATCCTTCTAACTCCCCCAAAGCTATCCCTTTATAGAGAGCTGCCAAGGAAATAGCCTAATCAGATAACTAGGTAGACTGATCTACTTCAAGTGGTTTCTGAACCAGTATCCACTTAAGATCTTGCAAAATGTTTCATTGAATACTGAAAGAAAAAAACTATCCAGTGGGTGGGGGGAGGAAGGTTGATATCAGAAGCCAAGAAGGAGGTAGAGATGAGTAGTTACTACAAGAAGTCTGAAGAAGACTCTTAAATGTGAAAAGGATCTTCCCACTTTCCACATCTCATCATGACAGCCCAGCAGTGTCCACACTGCTCTCCCTACTTCTCAAATCCTTCCTTTTCATGTCATCTGTCAAAATTCACATTCCATGTATATCCAACTGTACCAGCTACAACGAGGGAAGAAGAAAAAGAATTTCTTTTTAAATATATTTTTTAATTTTAAGATTCGAAATCTAATCGTTTGTCCTTACTGTTGCTTAATTACTTAAAGGTAATGATACAAATTATTTTCAAAAGTAAGTATTTTGGGGGGCATGAGCTCAAAATTCTGTCTAAGTGAGATATGTGATTAATTGGAACAGAAATCTTTACTCTGTGAAGAAAAAAAAAGATTTTTTTAAAACATATAATCCCTTTGATAGTTGTCTGGTTAAATAAGATGAAAGTTGGACTGAGTGAGTGGCCCCTGCCTGTATCTTAACCTCAGTATTCCTCAGCTTCTGAGCTCTCTAAAACCCTTCACTGGGTCATGGTACCCCCACTTCCCAATGCATGACCTGCTTGAATACTGTCCCACTGGAGGGAATGCTCACCCCATTCTCTATGTGGCTGGCTTCTTGTTTCTTAAATTTTAACTTACTCTACTTCTCTGCTGAATAATTTCTAAATACCCTTCAATTGATGACATTTTGCAGCAGCTCAAAAACAGGATCAACTTTTCAGTCATAGAATATAATGAAATTTATCATAATCATAAACTTAGAAACAAAATATTCCAACAGAGAGATTTACTGATTTTTAGCTAAAATTGATCTAATTGCTTCCCAGACTGTTTTTATGCATGGGTGGATTAAAATCACATATTTCTGCTATTGCACATTCTTTCCACAGTTATTTTGGATATGTAAAGAATACCTTGTATAACCAAGCTGAAATAGTGAAACAAAATATCATTACCAGTTTCATCATCTGGAAAGAAGGAAGTCCTGATAGTAAGTACTTTTGTTGCTACAGCCAGAACTAGGGAAAAATGGGTAAGTTATAGAAAATAACATATTAAAAGACGTTGCAGAGCTGTGAAAGGAAATGAGACTAGACAGATTAAAATCCAAAGAAAAAAGAATTCTTGCTAACATGAGCTGAGGTGGTCCATGGATGGAAGTGGTGAGAATTGACCATACTTTGTTTCCTAAAAATATTAACAAAATTAAATGCATGTAAGGATTGGTGCAATTGTAATATATAGAAAGCTAAAACAAGGCTCAATGATTCCACTCCTACCTATTTATACTAGAGAAATAAAAAACTGTTAATTTCACTTGAAAACTTATAGTAGATGTTTATAGATGCTTTATTCATATAATCACCCAAAACTGGAAACAAACCAAAACTTCTTTAGTGGAGGGATAGATTAACGAATTGTGTCATACATCCATTGGAATGCACATTAAAAATAAAAAGGAGGGCACTGTTGTTACCCACAAGGATCTGAATGAACCCTCAAGGCAGAAAGCCAGTCCCAAATTATTATGTCTGATATGATTCTACTGATATCTCAAAAGGCAAAAATATAGTGGTTCCCAGAGACTAGGGATGGAGAGAAAGTGTGGCTCCAAAGGACTAGCAAAGGGGAGTTGTTTGGAATAATGGAACTATTATGTATCCTTATTGCATGGCTGATTACATGATTCTATACATGCGTTAAAACTTCTAATATTGAGCACAACTAAGAATTATATAAGCACCCTGGAGGTAATTAGATACTGTGCCAAATGTTTAGTTCAAATTGTTATCCAACTTCTTGAAGACAGGTTTTGCAAATATAGTCATGAGACGCTCAGAATTTCTAATTTTAAATATTGGAAAACAGCTAATATACACAATACATGAATATCAAAATCACAGATGTTTGATTTTACATTACTAAAGAGGTTGAGCTTAACCATCAACTTGATTGGCTTTGGAGCCATGCAGGGAATTAGTAAAGCACACTTGTAGGTGTGTCTTAGTGTGTCATACAGGTGTAATCTTAGAGTCCCTTATTTTTTACCTGCTGCTATGAACAGAGCACGCCACCACACATCCACCATGATGTTTCTGCCTCGGCTCCACAAACTGGACTAAACCCTGTGAAACCATAAGCCAAATTAAGCCTTGCCTCCTTTGAGATGGGTGTGTGTGTGGGTATTTTTTGTCAGCAGTGGAAAAGCAATGAAGACAGTTCTCTCTTGATGTACTTTCTCATAATTTTAGCTTAGTGTAAATGGACTTATTATCATCGGTTTTATTTTCCAGCATCTCACTGCACCTCCACATTCTGGATATGTATTATGTACTTCAATGGCCCCTTTCTAGTTATAGCAAGTTGATTCTGTCATACTGTTGATGTTCCTTAGATAATTATACCTTTACTCTTTTAATAAATTAACTCTTAGTAGCAGATTTATTAGGTTGATTTCAATTTCAATGGGAATGTGGTCAGTCTTCTACCTCCTGCATTCACACAAAGGCTTAATTCAGTTAAATTATCAATTAATGCAAATTATTACAAATTAAATGCTGATTTATTTTCTCTGCTCATTTATTTGAAATCTTTTTATGTCATTCTCTAAAATTATGTGCATTTCATTAATTAATTTTGGCATGTTAATAAGATATATAACAAAGCAGTAATCTTGAAAATGATGGCTAACACCTACATTTAACAATAACTCTACTCCAAGGGATATTATTAACTTGACAAAAATTAAAAACTGCAGCACAAAACTTCATGGCAAACTACATAATGATTTCAATAAATTTCTGAGCTAAACAAAGCCTTTAAAAATTTTTTCCTGCTCCAAAGTTTTATAAATCACAACTAAATAACAAGTAGAAATGGAAATGTAAAATGTAAACATGTTATGAAGATTATTAGGAAACTTAATTCTAGGAAATATTTAGGAAAATAATTTATCAAGCACCTGTTTTGTATCAAGAATATTATGCACGTATCTTATGTTATTTTGTTAACAGTTCTGATTTATGGCATATCCATTCCCATTATACAGATGAGACAACTGATACTTTGATCTATTAAAATACTAACTTTCCTAAACCAGGGTGAGGAGGTTAGTGTGTGATGCACGGAACCTAAAGCCAAAGGGACTTGTGAAGTGTGAAGGAGTAAAGGAATGCCTCATGGCTAGATCCTAGGTCCTGGGGAAATTGGTAGCGCTGAGGCCCACAAGGCCAGCAGGGAAGCACATGTCAGGTTTTCCAGTGAAATCTAAGGATATGAGACTTCAGTGTGACAGACATCTTCACACAGTTCAGCATGAGGGAGAGACTGAAGGAATGCTTGCAACAGTCTCTTGGAGATTATAGCAGCATCACTGGAGTGATCAGAAGAGGGGGAAGTACATCATTTTGTGAAAGTTAATAGTTTAGCAATGATGGACTTGAGGCCAATTGGGTGACTTGGGATGAGCAGAGAAAGGGGGACTTGGGGTGTCTCCAGATTTCCAAGTGTGTAAAAGGCAATTCCCTCTGCTGAGACAGAGAGTACTAAAAGAGCCTCAAGCAGGGGAAGTGCTCATGTTTGTCCTAGCACGTGACCCGGTGTATTTGAAACATGCAGAATAGGGAGCAGATCAGAACTGCAGTGGAAATGTCCAGACCAAAGATTTAAGGTTAGGGGCGCATTCAAGAAACCTTACATATTCACCACAGCACTTCCCAAGTTGTACCTTGGAAATTTTGCATCAGAAACCTCTGCAAATCGACCCTTATTTATGGACATTCTAAGATCTGTGTCTCAGAATCACCCAAGTATGGAACAGTTGGCTAAGCACAGCATGGGCAGCAACCATCTGAGTTTGAATCCCAGCTCTGATACTACCAGTTTAAACTTGAGGAGACTTAACTGTGGCACTGGGCATCCTCCTCTGTAAAATGGGAACAATAGTACCTACTGCAAAGAGTTTCTTAAAGATTAAAAAGTTCTATAAAGCTCTAAATACAATGCCTAATACACAGCAAGAACTCAAAATTTATTTGCTCTCATTGTTTTGGGAGAATTTTTGGTAAAATATAGGTGCACGTGCTCCAAACCAGTGTTTGCATATTTAGTTCACTTTTGATGTCAACTTTTGATGTTTTAATCTATGCTGTATTTATGTTATTTCCTTTTATTTGTATGAGAGTATTTCTACTAAAGTAATACATGCTTGTGGTTAAATAAAAATTCAAGATGTGTTTGTAATAAAAAGTAGTGACTTTGTACCCAACCCCTTCTCATCTGAAATTTCATTTACTGGAAATAGTATTAGTCCTGTTTTTTAGTTCTGCAATAGTTATTGTCATAGATCTACAGTACTAAATTAACTACTGCATCAAAATTACCATATATATATACATACACATACATACATACATGTTCTTTGTTTTCTATATGTGTTTTCTCTCTTTTCAGAATTCTTGTTGATGCCTTATCCCCAACCTGGTACTCAAAGAAAGGGCACAGGGAAAGGAAAGCAAGAATCTTTCTGCCTGCCCTTTGCATACCCAGGGCTCCAGTGCCGATGAAAAGAGTGCAATCCTGAGGCCAAACTCAGCCTTCTACCCTTGACATCACAGAGTAAGTATATTGTTTGCAGAGGGTTGTTCACTTATTTCAAGGTGAGAGTTGGACAACATTTGCTCCGCACGGCAAAAATTTGTAAGAATACATAAATAGCTTAGCACCCATCTCAAACCAAACTTCAGTCTTGAGTGGCAGGGACTGGCTCCGACAATGACTGTCTCTGTTCTTTGCCAACATCCCGTCTGTCACTCTACTAGCTACACAAACATGCATACCAGGTCTTATTAAAGCATGAACTTCCTTGCTTTCACTCACCGCAGTTTGGATTTATGCTTTTACCCCCTTATTCACAAAATGCAGTATTCACTTTGTTTCCTTGGAGTAGTGAATAATGACTTGATTGAAATGGATGCCTCATACTGAGGTGAAGTTACTGAGAGACTGGAGGGGAATATTCAAAGTGTTTGCAGGGAGAATTTTCTGTTCAGCTTGTAAGAAGGCTCAGGTGAGATGCTGCTGCTAATTAACTATTACTATTACTAATCAAGCTATTACTAATTAACTACCAGGAAAGAGGAGACAGCCAATGAGATGCCCCTGGTGTCAGTCAGCTTTCCCTCAGTCAAAGTAGCAGAGCAAATCAACTTAAAAGGGGAAAGGTTTATTTGGGCTCAGCACTTCAGAGGTGTCGGTTCCTGGTCAGGTGGCTCTATTTTGGGGGGGCCTGTAGTGACATGGAGAAAATAGTGAAGCAAAATTGCTCATGATGCAGCATTTTACAAGCAGAAGTGGGGAGCACCAGCTGGCTTCCTCCTCCTGTTTTTGTTCCATCTGAGACCCCAACTTATTGAGTGGTGCCACCCATATTTAAGGCAGGTCTCCCAATCTCAGTTTGCTGTTCCATATGCCAGCTGTCTGAAAAACCCAAAAATACGCCCAGTGTCCTATGCATTCTCTCATGTCCTGTGCTTCTCTCAATCTAATCAAATGACAAAATTATTAACACCCCTACGTACCAAATGCATGGAAACCTACGAAAAATATGTTGAATTTGTTACAAGCTAAATGTTCCTAGCCACAGAATTTACTCTATAACTGTCCTTCTGCTGAGGAGTAGTTGGCAAAGGGAACACCAAGTTCAATAGCTTTACTTTGGGACAGGATAAAAATAGAGATAAATTTTGGGGTGTAATTTTTTTTATCCACATGCATCTGTTTATAAACAACTGCAATTGTTAGATGGTTTTACTTTCCCTCTAATTTTAGAAAGTCTAAGGAAAAACGATCCTCTGCTCTATGCCCAGAAGGAAACGGTAATAAGAAATAATGATGCCATCATCCATTTGGACAGTGAGATCAGCTTTTTAGAACACTTTCATATTGATTCTCTGTAAAAGTCAGGGTTCTCTAGAGAGAGGGAACCAATAGGATACAAATATAGAAATATGAGCAGGGGTTTATTAGGGGAAGTTGAGAAGCCCCAAGGAAGTCCATATGAAAGCAAGAGACCCTGCGATGGCAGTGGTGTGGCATACACACACACACACACACACACACACACACACACACACCCACCCAGATGAGAGCTAAGGAAGTCACAGGATGGAGAGCCTGGCATTCTGCTATTCAAGGTCAGAAAAAGAGGCTTTCTCAGCTCCAGGAAGGAAACGGGCTACTTTGGCTCTCCTCTCTCTCTCTCCTCTGTCTTTGTTTTCCTCAGCCCCCTTACACCCAGATGAGGCCAGCTTATATAGAGGACAGGTCTTCTCCATAGTCCAAGAAGACACATATGCCAGTCCTCTGGAAATACCCTCACAGACACGCCAAGAAATAAAGCTTTACCAGCTCTGTAGGCATCTCTCAGTCTAGTCAAGATGACACCTAAAATTAACCACCACCTTCTCCTACTTGAAACCCTGAGAATTCTGTGAAAATGGTGGGGCAGGTGTTAATGCCAGTGCTTAACGGACAAGGAAGCAAACCAGAGCATGAATGTGTCTTAAGTCATGTGGAACTCAAAAGCTAGACCCAGGTAGACCTACCTCCCCTGAGATCTGTTTTATAATATTGGCTGGAGATAAAGTTCCAGCAGAAACTGGGGAAATATTTCACAGTTAAACACAACTAAGCAAGATGGCATTTCCACCTGCTTTCTAACTAGCCAGACATTCACCTTTATTCCAACTACTTAAATTATTTTCCCTCTAATAACTATTTTGTATTTCATATAATCATATAGTGTCCCTCATTGACATGGTCACAGAATTGAAATGAAGTGTCTGGTTTTTCTGTTATCTGTACACTCCTCTGTGTCAGTTATCCAGATTTTTCTATGGTAATTTTAGTCACTGCAAAATATAGTATATTCCTGTAAGACGGGAACTAGGAAGGCAATATAGCTCACTCAATATTGAAAAATATTGGCTTTCAAATTGCAAAAACCTAGAATCAAATCTAATTCTGCCACTTCTACCTGGATAACCTCGCTAAGTTTCCAGATGTCACTGTTAAATTGTTAAGTGATACTTGTGTGGACATCTGATTTTTTGTTTTTTGCCCCTTTTACAACATAATGTAAATTCTAGTAGGATACTAGTCATGGGATCTAGTACCTGAGACATTATTGTGGGCATTAGGACCAGAACTGGCCAATAAGAGCATTCCACCTCCCTGGCTCTGGTGATTACTTAAAGGTCAGACAAGTGACCTAAATTAGGTCAATGGGGATTCTTCTATGGGTCTCATGGGGAAGCAAGCAAGTTTGATTGCAGCTAGGGCTGCAGGAATCAATCAGCTCTGCTGTAAGAGGAAAGCACACTCAGAGAGAAGAGCCTGATTCTCAAGCAAAAAAGGACAGGAGAGAAAAATAAACAGGGCTAGTACCATTCATACCTGATTCACCTAGACTGATCTGCCTGTCTCCGTATTTTTAGAGGCTTGCTAAGTTCAGATCTGGGGTGTTCACTAAAAGTGTCAGACACTCAGAGGTGGGGCTTTTGCGGGGTGGTTTCATCATGGAGGTACTGACTCATCAGTAGATTCATCCCTTAATGAGGCCTTGCAGAAGGAGGCAAGTCACTTCCGGCATAACCCAGGAGAGGGGATCTCCCTCCCAGGCTCCTCCCTCCTCCATCTCTGCTTCCTGACCACCACAATGTGAGCAGCTTTTCACCAGCCCTGCCCTGTCATGCTGTTTCTGCCTTGGAGCCTGCCAGATAACATGGACTGAAGTCTCTAAAAGCTGTGAATCAAAATAAACTTCTCCTTTAAGTTGTGGTTATCCAGCCTATTGTCCCAGAAACAAGAAAGTGGCTAAGACCAGGCTCTAGCTCCCACTGCTGCGGTTATTGTTAAGGCTAGCTTGGATTAGGCTTTTCTGGTCTGTAACTGAGAGTTGTGGCTACTGGGCCTCGCTGTAGAGTTGTGATAAGAAATAAATGAGGCAGTGCATAACAGGTGCTTAAGACTGCCTACCACCTACTGCCATGATGGTAAAGACAAGGATGCAAAAGAAGCAAATGAAGTCTTCTGCAATTTTTCATCTTACAGAGCCTCTAGCACAACATTCTACATGTAGGAGACACCAGCTGAAAGCTGCTTGAAGAGCTGGATGCTTCTCTAAGACTGTAGGAAGATCATGGGTTAAGACTGGATGCAAGACTGTCAGGTTTTGTATGAAATACATATTCCTACTGCTGTTTTTCACTACCTCAAATTTCATCACCACTATTTTCATTCTTTGTCAGTAGTAAAGTAATTCAGGAGAACCTCAGTACAGGCTCAGAATGGTGAGACATAACCCAGTTCTTTCTTTGGTCATTGTATCTATAGAGGAAGAAGCAATTTGATTTTTGGTCTATAGGGTGCTGTGACTAGACAGTGTTGAGAGCAGCTGATAATCACATTCATTTAAAAACCAAAGATGTTCCTTCAAGAACTTCCTACATGAATTTACTTAGTATGAGGGTTTAAGATAGTTTAAGGCTGTGTGTATTTGGGGTGAGAGCTATGAAATAAATCCAAAGGCAATTATCATATCTAAATCCTATATGTCTGGTTAGGACTGAGGCACAGATGAGAAAAACTGTTAGAAAACTATGAAAAAAAATCTTAGAGAGCTGTAATTAAAATCATAGGTTGAGGGAGTACTTCTTAATCTCAGTTATTAATTACAGTTTTCAACAACTGCATCTATGTTATCAACTGTACGTCTATGCTGATTCTTGAATCCTTTAGGACAGACGTGTTTCAGCAGGTTATGTGGATTCAAATCACTTTCAGGAGCTGAGTTGAACCAACGTAATTTTAGGTAAAGACTATAAACAACAAGGAAGACTTATCCATCCCTGTTTGCAGAAAACTGTCAAAATCACTCATCAATAGTAAAACCAGACAAATCAGCCATGGTTACAGCCTGTTGTTACTTTCCCCTTAACCTTCCTTTCAGGAATAGACTTCCCAGCAGCTCTGTGACCTGGGAAGGAGGCGGTCAATCAAGGGGCACTGCCTCTCCCCAGAAGGTTGGGAAGGTAACACGGTAAAGGTCAACAGGGGTCACGTCCATGGAGGTGGGGTGAGGAAGGTGCACTTTCTTTATGAGATCTCAAGCTGTGTAACCAAGATCCTTCTCTTTTGCATTAAAAAAAAAAAAAACAGCCGCCAGAGCATGAAACACATGAAACAATCACCCATTCTCACACAGAGGAAGAAACAAAGAGATAAGAGAATATACTGCTGAAGATAAATTGAGCCCTAGGCTCATCTGTCCTGAGTTTTCAAGTTGGAGCCAATAAATTCCTTTCTTTACTCCTTACACAGAAAAAATTGGGCAGGGTTTCTCTCACTTGCAAGCAAAAGCCCGATAGCTATGGTTGGGTCTGGTTTGAGTTAGCTGCATGGCTTTCTGCGTTGAATCTAATCCCCACTGTGAGGTGTTAAGAGGCTAGAAATTTAATTCGACTGTAGTGTTTAGAGGTGAGGACTTTAGGAAAGTGATTAGGAAAAGATGAGGTTATTAGGGTGGGGCCCTCAAGATTGAATTCTGTAGTTTTATAGAGACCACACAAACACACTTCCTCCCTGTCACACACACTCTCCCTGTTTCTTGCTATGTTGGACTCTGCCAACAAGAAGGTTGTTCCCAGATGGAAACGCTTGAAACTCTAGAACTGCAAGTAAAGAAACATCCCTTCTTTTTAACTTGCCCAGGCTGTGGTATTATGAGGAATAGAAAATAACCCCATTGCTTATTTAAGCTAAGATGCTTCATGCGCAGATAAAAAGATTGCCATCTGTGTATGCATGTGCGTGCGTGTGTGTGTGTGTTTTCTGAACAGCATTTACCCTGTGTGGCCTAATCCAAATGGCTTAACTACTTTGAATCATTTATCTTCTTTATTGCCAAAACACAAGTACAGATATATGTACTTGCAGGTGTAAAAGTGAATAGGTTGATGTCTGCATGAAACACAGGTATCCCTCCATGACTGTTCCCAAGAAACAGGGAAGGTCGAAAGGGTTGCAAGGATGGGCTTTTCTGAAGGCAAGGAAGCTAGGAGAGGAGAGAGAGAGAGAGCTCTGAATCTCTGGGCAGATGCAAGACAGAGCCGAGCCAGTTCCTGAGCAGCCAGCAGAGCTGGACATGAGGATGTCAGCAGCAAGTATGTATGGAATGAAAGGCTCTGCCTTCCTTTTCTGGGAACTACCTATGTCCTTAGATGCTAGCCTAGCTCCACAGATAGAAAGATTCCCCCATGGCCTATAACAGTATAACTATCTAGTCTAGATGGGCGATGTCTATGGCTAAAATTTAATGATTTAAATGAACAGAAGTGACATCACATGCCTTTCTGTGTTAATGGGCTGCCATGCACAGCCACTGGAGTGTTATGTGTCATTTCTGTAGCCCGGTCTTTGGTACATAGTAATACTTCTGTGATTATCACCGTAACCCTGGGAACACCACAGGAGTTTTCTGAAGCCTGCCAGATATCCACAGCACCTATACCCGCCCCAGCCTGAACATCAGAGAATAATGAGACTCTAAAGTCAGGAATTAAATGCACCTATTTTCTTAGACCCTTCTACTAATGGTTCAAAAGCATGGGTGAAAGGGAATTTAACTGGCAAGTTTAGAGTTAGTTTAGAAACTCACTTCTCATCCCTGTTACACTTGTTATTTCAAACTACCAGTGTGATATATGTCAGTTGGGTAAGGTCTAAGACCTCTAGAAAGGTAAGGATTTCCAGGCCCTCTCATTCTGAGTCTGGGAAAGCAGGTGAAAGGAGAGGTAAAAAGAGAGAGAGGAAGAGAGAGGCACCCAGAGAGAGAGAGCTGCAGGGACCATTTCAGTACTCAGATCTCTTGGGGAACAGAGGGAATAGGTCAAGCAAGCCCTTGTAAACACAGGAACAGACCACAGCAGTGATGTGTTTCTGTGACTGTGAGGACAGGAGACACCCTGTGCTTGTCAGTCTCTACTGAACATTTAACTCAGGCCCACACTGCAGTGGAGGTCGCAGGTAGCAAACAACAGGCATGAGACACCTATGCCCATAGTTTATGGTCTTTCAGTTAGATTCACAGCAAATATACATTTTCTTTGGCCCATGTAATATTTTTACAAGTTATTGCTAACATATCACAAATTGTCAGATTTTTCAAAATCAAACTTCCAGCCTGTTTTTAAAAATGCAAATATTTGACCTTCGGTTCTACTTCCTGCAATGAGTCGGTCTGAGTGGCATCTGTCTCTGTGGATGTGCACACTCCTCCCTGAGCTGTCTGCCCATCTCTTCATCTCAGCCTGCCTGTTCACCTGGTGCAGTTGCATCTCTTTGGCTGAGATGTTTGCGTCGAAAGGACGGCAGGAAATCACTGTTAATAAGGTGATGCACTCACTGACTCAAAATGGTGCAGGCAGAAGTATGCTAAAATGGTCTTTTCAAAGGTCTTGCCTTTGGATGACTACACTGTCAGGTCCTTGGGTGGGACATAAGCAAGCAAGTCCCTGATAGGCCAGCAGGCTGGAGGATGTGCCCATGGCCTGACTGCTGGAGCCCTGCACAGCCTCCTGAGGTTCCCTTTCTCATGGCAGATGTACTGCCCATTGATGCTCAGTAGAGAGCCAGCCTGGTGGAGTGAGCACCGCTTGTGGGAACGGATGCCACCTGCTTTGCTCTGTCCACAGAAGGCCCTGAGGATGACGCTGTGAGAGAAACAGCATTGCAGACTGACCTCTAGCCTTTTTTGCACACCTTGCTATTCTCTCGCCCTCGCGCATCACCTAACACTTTGCATCTCTCCAGATCAGTTTGAAGCATTTTCTGCCATTGTTATATCACTGTGCTTCATCGTCTGAGAGCCCTGCAGCTCCTGTGGCTGGCACCCCACCGAGAACACTAGTATTGTCTCTGGTTGTAGGTGACTGGTGACTCCACCTGCAGAATCCTGTTTCCTTAATGAGCCCATAGCTGTCTCTAGCAAACCAACATCTGCCCTGCTCAGCTCAGCCAGAGCAGACAGAGCTCTTGCTAAGCTGCTCCTTGTCCATATCATCCTATCCAGGGACCAAGGTTTGTCATCAAGTCAATCAGAGTAGGAAGACAGACCCATGGTACAGTAAAAAAAAATACCAGTGAACAGATGGAAGGGCTTATAAGGGTTTTTGCTTTTATTGTTTAAATAGGTGTGGGCCTTTGCATGGGCCACCCAGCCTTAGGGCTACATCCATCCATTTCATCATTTTGTAAAAGGGTGGGGACCAAGAGTTGGGAACAGGAAAGGAAACAGAGGAGATGAAAAAAGAATTAAGATGTGTTATGTTCACGTACCAAATGCCCATGAGGAATGTGCTCCTTATGTAGTAATAAAATTTTTTTAAAGTTTAAAGTTGCTTTTGTTTTTGTTTTCCCTCCCTCCTTCCCTTCTTCTTTCCTTCCCTGGCTTCCATCCTTTCTACTTTCCTCTCTTTCTCCTCCCCTCTCTTTATCTCTCTCTCTCTCATTTCTATCTATCCAATGCTGTGGAGAAGAAAACACCACAGCAGCATTTAGATGCCAATAAAATAAGGCTACAAATGTAAAAGTGAAAGAAGAACTCCATGCGAAGACTTGATACAAATGTGTTTGTTATTTATTCAGTGATTGGTGGCCTTCAAGTTTGCTTCATCTTGAATTCTCCTGTTTTAGGTCTGCCAAAAATGATGGAAACTTTCAGGAAGCAAAAAGCTAAAAGATTTTTTTGTCAAGACAAACGCTTGGCAGTGGGAAAATGAAGGTTGGTTTTTATAAAAACAAATACTGAAAATAAGAAGTTAAATTTGCTCTGCTAGAAATAAAAGATTCTCCTTTCCTCCTTTTTCTTAGAGCATTTACCTTAGACAACCTGGCAATTGTAAGTGCTTTCTCCACTCTCTGAGATGTATATAGACCCTCCTGAAAACTACACAGCCTTTCTGTCAGCTTAATGGCCCAGCAATAACTTTCTCAAGGACCCCAGAGCCATCCTTGGAATGTATCAGGGAGGCAGCAATGCCATCTCCTCCTTCCTGCGCGAGGGTGGGAGCCTAAGTTAGGCCGGCACCTTGCCCCATGTTGCAAAACCACCTCTTATGATGAAAATGTAAGAATGTGTTTCTCCTCCAGGTAAGTTAACTAACACAGGAGACCACAACTACGAGGTCCATCTAGGATGAGCTGTGAGAAACAAATGACACTGCCAAGCCCTGGGTACTCCGCAAGAAATCAGTGTTTATATTGAGAAGAAGTGCACAACAGAGCTAGTCTGCACGGTTCTGACAAAGGCTGAAGTCTCTGTCTTTGCCACCCTCTGAGCGGTTGTCTGTGATGGAATCTCATTTTGGTTCGATGCCCATTCAGTCATATCACTGTGTTCTTTCTCTGCTACTTTTGTCGAGAGGATTTCCGGGTTGAGAGAATTGTCTTTATTATATTTCCCCAGCATTTTCCACGTGCGATCCGCGTGTGCCACTTTGAAAACAGATGTGAAAAGAGAGTAAGGGGGCTTCCCTACAAGTTGCCCCTGTTGACATAAACACAGCAGGTTTATGGATGGGAGGGAAGAATCAGCCCGCTCCCGGAATATTATCTTTTTCTTCTCTCCTATCCGGAAGCTAAGGGTGGGTTGTCCGTTAGACTCTGCTCCCATCTCCCAGAAGGAATCCCACACAAAGATGACAGCTGGAGAAGTAGAGGCCCCAAACCAGAAACCCACCTGCATCCCTGTCACCTGAGCAGTGAGGGCCTCTAAGATCCCGAGGCATGGGCTGCGACTACGCGCTGCTCGCTGGCCCCTGCTTACCTGTATTTTATATGCATCCTGTTCTCATTTGGCTTTGTGTTCGCTGCGGTGGTGGAACTCAAACCCAGAGCGCCTCCTACACACTCAGCAAGTGCTGAGCTACATCCCCATGCCATAGTTTCTGTCTGGTTTTTCAGTTTTAATTTTCTCATTACTACATGTTTGCAGTACATAATGATGACACATTTCTCATGGGGACTTGGTACACAGACATAACACTTCTTAATTCTTTTTCATGTCCCCTTCCCCTCCCGTTCTTCCCCCTCCCTCTTGATCCCCTTCCCTTTTGCAAAAGATCTACTGTGTCTTTTTCTGTTCTCTTTTATCGTGCTCCTTATCTATTCTTGGTGTTTCTCATATGAGAGAAACCATGCGATATTTAATAAGATTTTCCAAGCTGTACCCCGATGACCTTCAGTTCTTTCTGAAAATCAAGATGGTCCTTTTCGCTTTTCAATACCCAGTTATTCAATCTTTTTTGGACTCAGGCATTTCCTATTCGGTTCACTGAGTATTTGTTACTTAAAACAAAATAACTGTAATATCTTTGTTGCTGTAGAATTTAAACTCATATCTGATGGTTTCAGGATGTGAACTCTGTGTTCCCTTGTATAAGGGACATGTAAGTGAAATTAATGATAATTCTTAAGGACAGATTAGCAGTAGATGATACCTTTTTTGAAGAATTAAATGTGTACATAGATGACCTTTACTTTGTTATATCTTCGGGGGGGGGGGGCTCAAGCTGTGGTACTTTCCCCTTGCCATAAGCTTTTTTTTTTTTTTAGTTTATTGGTACATGTTAGGTATACAGTAACATTCATTACTGGGTACTTGGTTCTCATTTTTTCCCCTTCTCCCTGCCCTCCCTTCAACCCCCTTAACACACACACTTTTGTTTTCTTTTTTTTTCTTTCCCCTTATTTACCTTTCTCTTCCCACTTTCTCTCTTTCCCGCTTTTCCTA